GAAGATAGGGAAGCTGTGATTTCGTGTATAGGCAAGGAGGAATAACATCTTGTAGGAGTGAGGAAGAGTCCAGTTTGAGGTGTGGGGAAGTTCGTGAGGCAGTAGGTAAAATGAAAGGGGGTAAGGCAGCCGGATTGATGGGATAAAGATAGAAATGTTAAAAGCAGGTGGGGAATATGTTTTGGAGTGGTTGGTGCAATTATTTAATAAATGTATGGAAGAGGGTAAGGTACCTAGGGATTGGCAGAGAGCATGCATAGTTCCTTTGTATAAAGGCAAAGGGGATAAAAGAGAGTGCAAAAATTATAGGGGGATAAGTCTGTTGAGTGTACCTGGTAAAGTGTATGGTAGAGTTATAATTGAAAGAATTAAGAGTAAGACGGAGAATAGGATAGCAGATGAACAAGGAGGCTTTAGGAAAGGTAGGGGTGTGTGGACCAGGTGTTTACAGTGAAACATATAAGTGAACAGTATTTAGATAAGGCTAAAGAGGTCTTGTGGCATTTATGGATTTGGAAAAGGCGTATGACAGGTGGATAGGGGGGCAATGTGGCAGATTTGCAAGTGTATGGTGTAGGAGGTAGGTTACTGAAAGCAGTGAAGAGTTTTTTTTAACGAGGATAGTGAGGCTCAAGTAGAGTATGTAGGAAAGAGGGAAATTTTTTCCCAGTAAAAGTAGGCCTTAGACAAGGATTTGTGATGTCACCGTGGTTGTTTAATATATTTATAGATGGGGTTGTAAGAGAAGTTAAATGCAGGGTCTTGGCAAGAGGCGTGGAGTTAAAAGATAAAGAATCACACACAAAGTGGGAGTTGTCACAGCTGCTCTTTGCTGATGACACTGTGCTTTTGGGGAGATTCTAAAGAGAAGTTTGCAGAGATTGGTGGATGAATTGGTAGGGTGTGCAAAAAAAGAAAAATTAAAGGTGAATACAGGAAAGAGTAAGGTTATGAGGATAACAAAAAGTTTTAGGGATGAAAGATTGAAATATAAATTTGGAGGGAGAGAGTATGGAGGAGGTGAACGTATTCAGATTTTTGGGAGTGGACGTGTCAGCGGATGGTCTATGAAAGATGAGGTGAATCATAGAAATTGATGGGGGAAAAAAGAGTGAGTGGTGCAACTTAGGAGTCTGTGGAGACAAAGAACTTTGTCCTTGGAGGCAAAGAGGGGAATGTATGAGAGTATAGTTTTTACCAACGCTCTTATATGGGTGTGAACCGTGGGTGATGAATGTTGCAGCGAGGAGAAGGCTGGAGGCAGTGGAGATGTCATGTCTGAGGGCAATGTGTGGTGTGAATATAATGCAGAGAATTCGTAGTTTGGAAGTTAGGAGGAGGTGGGGATTACCAAAACTGTTGTCCAGAGGGCTGGGGAAAGGGGTTGTTTGAGGTGGTTCGGACATGTAGAGAGAATGGAGCGAAACGAATGACTTCAAAGTGTATCATCTGTAGTGGAAGGAAGGCGGGGTAGGGGGCGGCCTAGGAAGGTTGGAGGGAGGGGGTAAAGGAGGTTTTTTGTGCGAGGGGCTTGGACTTCCCGCAGGCATGCGTGAGCGTGTTTGATAGGTGAATGGAGACAAATGGTTTTTAATACTTGACGTGCTGTTGGAGTGTGAGCAAAGTAACATTTATGAAGGGATTCAGGGAAACCCCGGGAGGCCGGACTTGAGTTCTGGAGATGGGAAGTACAGTGCCTGCACCCTGAAGGAGGGGTGTTAATGTTGCAGTTTAAAAACTGTAGTGTAAAGCACCCTTCCTGGCAAGACAGTGATGGAGTGAATGAATGGTGAAAGTTTTTCTTTTTCGGGCCACCCTGCCTTGGTGGGAATCGCCGGTGTGATAATAAAAAAAAAAAAAAAAAATTAATATATGCTTCAATTTTAAAACACTTGATCTACACATCCCCTACCCACTCTAAAACCTCCTTGCTCATCCGCAATCCTACATTCTGTCTTACCTCTAATTCTTTCAATAATAACCCTACAGTACACTTTCCCTGGTATACTCAGTAAACTTTTTCCTCTATAATGTTTTTCAATCTCTTTTATCCCCCTTCCCTTTATATAAAGGGACTATACACGCTCTCCGCCAATCCCTAGGTACCTTCCCCTCTTCCATACATTAAACAAAAATACCAACCACTCCAACACTATGTCCCCCCCTGCTTTTAACATTTCTGTCATGATCCCGTCAGTTCCAGCTGCTTTACCCCCTTTCATTCTACGTAATGCCTCACGCACCTCCCCCACACTCACATCCTGCTCTTCTTCACTCCTAATAGATGATATACCTCCCTGGCCAGTGCATGAAATTACCGCCTCCCTTTCTTCGTCGACATTTAAAAGTTCCTCAAAATATTCTCGCCATCTACCCAAAACCTCCATCTCCCCATCTACTAACTCCCCTTCTGTTTTTAACTGATAAATCCATTTGTTCCCTAGGCTTTCTTAACTTGTTTAACTCACTCCAAAATTTTTTCTTATTTTCATTAAAATTCCTTGACAGTACCTCTCCCACTCTATCATCCACTCTCCTTTTGCACTCTCTCACCACTCTCTTCACCTTTCTTTTACTCTCCATATACTCTACTCTTATAACACTTCTGCTTTGTAAATACCTCTCATAAGCTACCTTTTTCTCTTTTATCACACCCTTTACTTCATCATTCCACCAATCACTCCTCTTTCCTCCTGCACCCACCCTCCTATAACCACAAATTTCTGCCCCACATTCTAATACTACATTTTTAAAACTATTCCAACCCTCTTCAACCCCTCCCCCCCCCACTACTCATACCTGCACCAGTCTACCTTTCTGCCAATAGTTGCTTATATTTCACCCGAAGTTCCTCTTCCCTAAGTTTATACACTTTCACCTCCCTCTTACTTGTTGTTGCCCTTTTCCTCTTATCCCATTTACCTCTTACTCTAACTGTAGCTACAACCAGATAATGATCCGATATATCAGTTGCCCCTCTATAAACGTGTACATCCTGGAGCCTACCCATCAACCTTTTATCCACCAATACATAATCTAACAAACTACTTTCATTACGTGCTACATCATACCTTGTATATTTATTTATCGTCTTTTTCATAAAATATCTATTACTTATTACCAAACCTCTTTCTACACATAGCTCAATTAAAGGCTCCCCATTTTCATTTACCCCTGGCACCCCAAATTTACCTACTACTCCCTCCACAACATTTTTTCCCACTTCAGCATTAAAATCCCCAACCACAAGTACACTTTACACTTGGTTCAAAACTCCCCATGCAATTACTCAACATTTCCCAAAATCTCTCTCTCTCTCCTCTATACTTCTCCCTTCCCCAGGTGCATAAACGCTTACAATAACCCACTTCTCACATCCAACCTTTATTTTACTCCACATAATCCTTGAATTTATATATTTATAGTCCCTCTTTTCCTGCCATAGCTTATCCTTATCCTCAGATGAGTGTGTATAAATAAACGTGTATATGTATGTTTAGTGTGACCTATGTGTAAGTAGAAGTATCAAGACGTACCTGTAATCTTGCATATTTATGAGACAGACAAAAGACACCAGCAATCCTACCATCATGTAAAACAATTACAGGCTTTCATTTTACACTCACTTGGCAGAACGGTAGTACCTCCCTGGGTGGGTGCTGTCTACCAACCTACTACCTATAAAATGAGAGTTGCTACTCTCACCACTGGGCAATGGCGACCAGTATTTAGGTGAACAGTATTTAGGTATAGGTAGGGAAGCTTTCATTGCATTTACAGATTTAGAAAAGGCATATGATAGAGTGGATATGGGAGCAATGTGGCAGATGTTTCAAGAGTATGTAATAGGTAGTAAGTTACTAAATGCTGTAAAGAGTTTTTATGAGGATAGTGAGGCTCACATTAGGGTGTGTAGTAGAGAAGATTACTTCCCAGTAGAAGTAGGTCTTAGACAGTGATGTGCAATGTCACCATGGTTGTTTAACATGTTTATATATGGGGTCGCAAAAGAAGTAAATGCTAGGGTGTTTGGGAGACGGGTGAGATTAAATTTTGGGAAATCGAGTACAAAATGGGAGCTGACAGTTACTTTTTGCTGACGATAATGTGCTTTTGGGAGATTCTAAAGAAAAGTTGCAAAGGTTAGTGGATGAGTTTGGGAGGGTGTGTAAAGGTAGAAAGTTGAACATGAACATAGATAAGAGTAAGGTGATGAGGGTATCAAATGATTTAGATAAAGAAAAATTGGATATCACATTGGAGGGAGGGAGAGCATATGGAAGAAGTGAGAATGTTTTCAGATATTTGGTAGTTGAGTTGTCAATGGATAGGTTTATGAAGGATGAGATTAATGACAGAACTGATAAAGGAAAAAAAGTGAGTAGTGCATTGAGGTATGTGGAGATGAAAAAATGTTATCCAAGGAGGCAAAGAAGGAAATGTACGAGAGTATAGTGGTACCAACACTCTTACATGGGTGTGAAGCATGGGTTGTAAATGCTGCAGTGAGGAGGCAGTTGGAGGCAGCAGAGATGTCCTGTCTAAGGGCAATGTGTGGTGTGAATATTATACAAAGAATTCGTGTTGTGAAAATTAGGTGTGGAATTACTAAAAGTATTAGCCAGAGGGCTGAAGAGGGGCCATTGAGGTGGTTTGATCATTTAGAGAGAATGGAACAAAGCAGAATGACTTGGAGAGCATATAAATCTGTAGGGGAAGGAAGGTGGGGTAGGGGGTCGTCCTCAAAAAGGTTGGAGGAAGGGGGTAAAGGAGGTTTTGTGGGCAAGAGGCTTGGGCTTGCAGAAAGCATGTGTGAGTGTGTAAGATAGGAGTGAATGGAGACAAGTGATTTTTGGGACCTGACAAGCTTTGGAGTATGAGCAGGGATATGCAAAAGAAAATGAGATTTCTTCCAGAAGGATCCTGGAAGAGTAACTCTCTCATGTAACAAAGATTAGTAGGAACAAAGAGAGGGGAAATTATCTATAAAATCAACTTACTTGAGCAAAGAGATAAGCCAACACCATACGAAGGCGTGCTTGCACATTCTGTAGAGCAACGTTTTCTCTTGTAGTGCCCCCACGCACTCTAAACTTTGGGATGAAGCCTGTGGCAGCACTGAAGATGCCTAATGCAGCTGATACCATACTGTCAATTGTAACTGGTATGTGGTAACTGAGGAAGAAAGATTCAATTTAAGTAACTGTGATGGTCCCTGTAAAGTCAACTGTCTAAGCAATGATGGTCGCTGTAAAGTCAACTGTCTAGGCAATGATGGTCCCTGTAATGTCAACTATCTAGGTAAAGATGGTACTTGTAATGTCAACTGCCTGGGTAATGATGGTAAAATGTCAACTGTCTGAGTGATGATGGTAATGTTAACAACTATTTAGGGGATGATGGTAATATCAACTATCTAAGGGATGGTGGTAATATCAACTGGCATTTCTGATTCTTTTTTGCCATTTTAATGCCCATAGGTTGGCTTTTCCTTGGATTGCCTGAGTACTAGTACAATGCATCTGGTACTATTTCTTCTCATTGCTGTACTACATGATTGGTCCTAGGGTTCCCATGTGGATTAGATGTGACTGGACAGACTAATGAGATGCTCAGTTGGAGTTGATTAAGTACAGTACACCTGGCAGTGGACACTTTCTCAGGTAAAAAAGTCACTGCATTACCACATTACATATAACAACTGTTAAGTCACAATTCCATTTTTAATGTGTAAGTCATTTATCACTACATTTCAACTATTAGAACTAAGCCAATAAGAAATTTAAGTAAAGTCAGTATGAGTTCTCTTTTTGTATCTGCCTCTGTAGGTGATAGTAAATTTTACAGGATCTAGATTTGAAATATTTTTTAGATATTATGCAAGTATGTACTAGTATTGTATCAAATTTGCAGGTTACGAGGGCAAACTGTATTCAGAGAAAATATACACATATGGAAAAGAATCAAGTACACTTCATACAATTAGAACTACAAGCCCAACCTTTCAGTCATCACTGGATTATTCTACAGTGGATTCATCATTATGGTTTCCCACCGAACACCTGGAGATTCACCTCACTTCATACTATCAGTGACCTCATCATCACATAAGAACATAAGAAATAGGGAACACTGCAACAGGCCTACTGCCCCATGTGAAGCAGGTCCATGCCACCCCCCAGCCTAACACAAAGACCACCTAGTCAGGTCACTTCCATTTAAGGAAGAAGCATGGCACCAGACCTGGTAGCCCAAGCTTGTCAGGTCCAACTCTCACCCATCCACACCCACTCATATATTTATCCAACCTATTTTTAAAACTACACAACGTCTTAGCTTCTATGACGGTACTCGGGAGTTTGTTCCACTCATCCACAACTCTATTACCAAACCAGTGCTTTCCTATGTCCTTCCTGAATCTGAACTTTTCCAGCTTGAAACCATTGCTGCGAGTCCTGTCTTGGCTGGATATTTTCAGCACGCTGTTTATGTCCCCTTTATTTATTCCTGTTTTCCATTTATACACCTCAATCATATACCCCCTAATTCTATGCCTTTATAGAGAATGCAGATTCACAGCCCTCAGTCTATCCTCATAGGGAAGATTTCTGATACATGGAATCAACTTTGTCGTCCTCCTCTGTACGTTTTCCAGTGAATTTATATCCATTCTGTAATATGGTGACCAGAACTGTGCAGCATAATCTAAATGAGGCCTAACCAAGGATACATAGAGTTGAAGAACAACCTGAGGACTTCTATTATTTATACTTCTTGATATGAAGCCAAGGATTCTGTTAGCTTTATTGCGAACACTTATGCACTGTTGTCTTGGTTTCAGATTACTGCTAACCAGAACTCCTAAATCCTTTTTGCAATCAGTAGTACTAAGATCTACACTATTCAGTTAATAAGTGGCATGGTTATTGTCCTGTCCAACATTTAGCACTTTGCATTTGTCTATATTAAACTGCATCTGCCACTTCTTCGACCACTGCATCAGTCTATTCAAATCATCCTGGAGTGCACTAATGTCCTCAATAGAATGAATTGGACGGCCTATTTTGGTGTCACCAGTAAATTTGCTTATGTTGCTATTTATTCCCTCATCTATATCGTTTATGTAAATTGTGAACAACAAGGAGCCCGACATTGACCCCTGTGGAACACCACTTGTGACGTTCTCCCATTCTGATTTCTCCCCATTTATGCAAACTCTTTGCTGCCTATTTGTCAACGATGCCTCTACCTGTCAGGTATTGTACAGTAGTGATCAGCATTTTGAAATAAATTAGTATTACTACGTGGTTTTTATAAAGAAGCATTTATGGATTTACTGGAGTTATTTTAGAAACATGTCCCCCACAAACTTTGAGGGATAACTACGTTTAACAAATTAATCAATTTCAGAAAAAATTTGATCAATTTTACAAACCTACATCAAGACATACCTTCCAATTTGTTGAGAGAGAAGCTTAGCTCGAGCCTTTGTCTCTAATGATGAATTTTCGGTGGCCATGTAAACAGTGTGGAAGATTCTACCACAAAGCTCACGACGATCCCGAGGAACATAATCTGCTTGGGATACTATACGCCGAACATCTTCTAATACCTATCAGATAGGGATTCAGTATTTGAAGCATCAGATCTCGAAGTTAACATACCGTAATACCAAGCTCTCTCAGTTTTAATGCCACCATATAAAACAAAAGGAATATAATATTGCCCATGTTCATTGATAGATCTGTGTACATGTAAGTGAGGTATGATTGTCCTATGACCAGTTTTAATTTAATGAAATATAACCCAGAATCAATTCTATTTCGTATGTACCAACTCTTGAAGACAATACTGCTGATGTTTATGTCCACTGCAACTACAATTATAATTACTGAAGAGAGAAAAATGTGCAAGAATAACCATTACACTCAAACCAAAAATTAACAGATCTCAATGTGAAGTTCAGTTTGGAGGGATATGTTGTGTATCTTTATACATATATGCTTCTAAACTGTTGTATTCTGAGCACCTCCGCAAAAACAGTGATTATGTGCAAGTGAGGTGAAAGTGTTGAATGATGATGAAAGTATTTTCTTTTGGGGGATTTTCTTTCTTTTTTGGGTCACCCTGCCTCGGTGGGAGACGGCCGACTTGTTGAAAAAAAAAAAAAATGTACAGAAGACAGACAGACAGATGATTTCATGCCCTAGCAGCTCAGTCAAATAACAGAACTAAAATGCATGAAACAAATCAATAGACAAGTAATATTTATACCTTCTCTTCTCCATTAGCAACAGCCTGTACCACTAGCTGACACATAGAGAACACAATGGTAGCCGTTGCAGATGAGTCGACACCACCTGATAATGGAAGGAGGAAGCCTCCTTGACCTGAACGCCTCAAGTAATCCCACAACCAGCAAGCAGGGCCATAAAGAATTTCTTCCTCTGGGAGAGGGATAGTGTATTCTATGGGAGCACATGATGGCAGGAATATGTCTTCATCATTGGAGAGAGCAAAATTTACCTGCAAGGAGTTAATAAAGGCAAATATATTAGAATGTTGTACTTCAATAATAAAACCTAAAAACAAGAACAGTAGTGTTACAGTATCAGTAATGTACAGATCAGCATAAATTAAACTCTTACTATCAAGAGAATTTTATATTATATTGCTTTTACTTTATGCTTTAACTAAAACTTAGTCCACTTGAAGATTCACACAGTGCTAAGCCAACTGCATGAATTTCTGTCTATGGCACTACTAATTACTGTGTTCTTGCTGAAAGTGATGCAACAATAGCAGAACTGACAGCAAACTTATGACAGGAAAACAAGCACTATAACAACCTGTATTTGAAAATGAACGTACATAGGTCTATAGAATGTAAGATAAATAAATGATGAATTCGAGCAAATGTTAACAAGGGTCGATGATACAGATATTCTAGACATTTCTGAGACACAGTTCAAAAATGGGACATAGTTCATGCAAAAGGATAAGGATACTTGATGTGGATGTGAATATATCAACAATATGGAGGAATGGACCCAAGTGCATACACCTGAGACAACTTTATTGGATGTTGCAGTACCAGAATATTGGTTAATCTGTATGAGGCATGACAATGAGAAAGCAGAGAACCCAACAGGAGCAGGTGATGCTGTACAAAATGCTACCTCCAGTACCATAGCACAAAGGGTTGGTAACTATTAAATCTCAACAATCCAAGCATTCATAGTACTGCTGCAAGCTGATTCTTGGCTGCCACATGACAGGGCAATTACCTATAACTTGCATTCTCAGCTATATAAACAGTAGGGCCCCGTTTTACGGCGTTTCACCTTGCAGCATTCCACAAATACAGACATTTCAAATTATGGCCAAAACCCTCTATACGGCTCCCCATCTTTCTAATATGGTGCGTACCACCTGGTTTGTTTACATTCTCCTGAGCACCGCATCTCTCCATTATGTTTGGAAACTTTACAAAATTTCAAGTATTTTAAAGTTATTTCATATTTTATATGTAAAGCGGATCCCCGGTTATTTGCCATAATCCATTCCAGGAGGTTGGCCTAAATCCGAAATGGCCAAAACCCGAAGTAATATTTCCCATAAGAAATAATGTAAATCCAATTAATCTGTTCCAAACACCCAAAAATATTAACAAAAAATACATTTTTTAAGGAATACCTATAGTTTTACAAACAGAAAACAACGAGAAAGAAATATAAAGCAGTAATTTTAATAAATGAACATTACATACCTTTATTAAAGACTCTTGTTGGCATATGGAAGGCGGCAAACGGGAGGAGAGCTTATTGTTTGGAAGGGTAATCCCCCTCCATAAGGACTTCAGGTATCAAGTCCCACTATGGGGTTACTTCCCTTCTTTGCTTTTTACTGGCACTAGGACCAGCTTGAGTCACTGCACCCATCGCACAAAAAATCTGTCCAGAGAGGCTTGTTTCTGGAGTCTCTGTAAAATTTGCCTAAAATGGGACAAGACATTGTCATTGAACATGTTGCAGACACAGCTTGCAACAATTTTGTCAGGGTGATAATTCTCCGCAAAACTTTGCACCTCACTCCACTTTGCACAAATGTCCTTAATCACTAAAGAAGACACATTCTCCCCCTCTCTTCCTCCTCTGAGGCAATATTCTCAGCTGCGGTCCGTTGCTGTTCCTGTTGAAGGTGTTGCAGCTCTTCAGTGGTTAGCTCTTCCCTGTGGTCCTCCACCATCTCAACATCCTCGCCACTCACATCCAACCCCATGGACTTCCCCAAAGACACAATACATTTCACGATATGCATAGGGTCATTCATATTTTGCGGTAACTTCTTTCTTGAATTCTATCGTGTTTCTCACCTTCTTTACCAAAAGGCTGGCACTCTGACCATTCTTTGGCCCCCATGGTGGCTTATTTCATAGTTGCAATCAATAAACTAGCACCAAAAACAATCGATGAGCGCACGGAGTATTCCTAACCCAAAGAGAGCGATGCGCAGACTGAGTGTGATGTTCGTGAGAAAGCGCGTCGCTGGTGGGTGGATGCACCTCATACCAATGATTTCCAAGTGGATGGCCGATATCCGGGGGGGGGGGGGGTGATTTCACCGAAAAAAGTGGTCGATTTCCGAATTGCCCGATTTCTGCACCAGCTGATATCCGGGGGTCCACTGTACTCCGATAATTATACTTATGTGTACCTGTACCTAAGAAACTTATACACTGTGTTGGTGTGCAGGTACACATTAAAATCACTAAGAGAGTCTTGCTAGTCTTGAAGATGCCATATTAATAATGATGATAATAATGACACACAATGTATATTTTATGATATTTCTTTCAAAATTATATAATAAACATGCTTTGTAATACAGTGGACCCCTGGTCTGCGATGGCATCGGTATCCGATAAATCCGGCATTCGATACATTTTAACGCAAAAATTTTGCCTCAGTTCCCGTTAAAAAACTCGCCATACGCGATTCGTCCGAGACATGTCCACGTGTGGCCTGAACTGCCCCATGTGTGCCAGTGTTTACAAGCCAGCCAATGTGCTCGCATCTAAGGATACATTCGGTACATTCCATATTATCACAGTGTTTTTGGTGCTTGTTTCTGCAAAATAAGTCACCATGGGCCCCAAGAAAGCTTCTAGTGCCAACCCTTCAAGAAAAAGGGTGCTAATGACTATTGAAATGAAGAAAGAGATAATTGCAAAGTACGAAAGTGGAGTGCGTGTGTCGGAGCTGGCCAGGTTGTATACAAAACCCCAATCAACAATCGCTACTATAGTGATCAGGAAAACGGCAATCAAGGAAGCTGTTGTTGCAAAAGGTGCAACTGTGATTACAAAACAGCGACCGCAAGTGTTAGAAGATGTTGAGAGACTGCTATTGGTGTGGATAAATGAAAAACAGGTAGCAGGAGATGGCATCTCTCAAGCGATCATCTGTGAAAAGGCTAGGAAGTTGCATGACAATTTGGAAAAGAAATTGCCTGCAACTAGTGGTGATATGAGTGAATTTAAGGCCAGCAAAGGTTGGTTTGAAAGATTTAAGAATCGTAGTGGCATACATAGTGTGATTAGGCATGGTGAGGCTGCCAGTTCAGACCAAAAAGCGGCTGAAAAATATGTGAAGGAATTCAAGGATTACATAGACAGTGAAGACTTGAAACCTGAACAAGTGTTTAATTTGGAAAAAACAGGCCTGTTTTGGAAGAAATTGCCAAGCAGGACCTACATTACTCAGGAGGAAAAGGCACTCCCAGGACATAAGCCTATGAAAGACAGGGTTACTCTTTTGATGTGTGCCAATGCTAGTGGTGATTGCAAAGTGAAGCCTTTATTGGTGTATCACTCTGAAACTCTCAGAGCGTTCAGGCAAAACAATGTCCTCGAGGCTAATTTGTGTGTGCTGTGGAGGGCAAACAGTAAGGCATGGGTCACTAGGGACTTTTACTATGACTGGTTACACCATGCATTTGCCCCAGATGTGAAAAATTACCTAATTGAAAAGAAATTAGACATTAAGTGCCTCCTGGTATTAGCCAATGCCCCTGGTCATCCTACAGACTTGGCAGAGCAACTTTCTGGGGACATGAGCTTCATTAAGGTCAAGTTTTTTGCCTCCTAATACCACTTCTCTCCTGCAGCCCATGGACCAGCAGGTCATTTCCAACTTAAAGAAACTACACAAAAGCTGTGTTTCAAAAGTGTTTTGAAGTGACCACAGATACTCAATTGATTCTAAAAAGAGTTTTGGAAGGATCACTTTAATATCCTCAATTGTGTAAACCTTATAGGTAAGGCTTGGGAGGGAGTGACTAAGAGGACCTTGAACTCTGCTTGGAAGAAACTGTGGCCAGAATGTGTAGACAAAAGGGATTTTGAAAGATTTGAGGCTAACCCTAGGAATCCTATGCCAGTTGAGGAATCCATTGTGGCATTGGGGAAGTTCTTGGGGTTGGAGGTTAGTGGGGAGGATGTGGAAGAGTTGGTGGAGGAGGACAATGATGAACTAACCACTGATGAGCTGCTAGATCATCTTCAACAGCAAGAGGCCACACCTGAGGAAACTGCTTCGGAGAAGGGGATAGAGAAATTGAAGAAGTTGCCTACTTCAAAGATTAAGGAAATGTGTGCAAAGTGGCTTGAAGTGCAAACCTTTTTTGATGAAAATCACCCTGACGCAGCTACTGCAAGCCGTGTTGGCAACCTGTACAATGACAATGTTGTGAACCACTTTAGGAAATTCATAAAGGAACGAGAGGTACGGGCCTCTATGGACAGATATGTTGTGCGACAAAAGTCCAGTGACTCTCAAGCTGGTCCTAGCGGCATTAAAAGAAGGGAAGTAACCTCGGAAAAGGACTTGCTACCTCAAGTCCTAATGGAAGGGGATTCCCCTTCTAAACAATAACAACTTCCACACTCTCCCCTCCTCCCATCCCATCAATCATAACCAGATCTTCATTAAAGGTAAGTGTCATGTATTCTATTGTTAGTAGAGTACTACAAACTGTGCATGTCTTCTTCAGTTTGTGTGCATTAAATTTAATATTTCGTGTGGTAAAATTTTTTTTTTCATACTTTTGAGTGTCTTGCACGGATTAATTTGATTTCCATTATTTCTTATGGGGAAAATTGATTCGCTTTTCGATAATTTTGGTTTACGATGAGCTCTCAGAAATGGATTAATATTGCAAACCGGGGATCCACTGTATATAAACATGATAAATATACCCACAGTAGAATAAATTAACATAAATATGAGATGTTTTTCTAGTCGGCTTGTGGAGTGAACTAAAACCATATGCGTTCGCCTGAAACCATATGCGTTCGCTTGGTTTGTTTACAAAACTCGCATCTGTTCTCTCTCATGTACTCATTCTCTCTCTCTCTCTCTCTCTCTCTCTCTCTCTCTCTCTCTCTCTCTCTCTCTCTCTCTCTCTCTCTCATTCTCTCTCTCTCTCTCATTCTCTCTCTCTCTCATTCTCTCTCTCTCTCTCAT